ATAAAGTCCAATAATAAAAATAATGTTTCTACAGTAGTAAAGAGGAAGGTCAGCTTTAAAGAATGGTAGCATCTCACAAGGCAGTAAAAGGAGATGGGAAATTCAATCTGAATAAAGAGGACCCTCATAAGAAAAATATTTCAGTTTTGTGTATTTAATAATGGCTTTGTCTACAGTGAGATATTGCCAAATATAACAAAAAAAGATCTTTGGACAAACTAAAGAAATTGTTATCTCAGAAGCAGCATTTGTCCACTCTTCCCAGAACAGCACTAACACCACTGTAAGATCTGCCTGGGCTCCAGGTGGATCCTAAGTATGCTGTGTTATTTCTTTAGGACACTCTTTCTGCTTCCAATTTGTATCGGATGCTCTGATCACTACTCAGCATTTCCTTTGATAAGATTGAGACTCACAAATACTAAGCTAAATGACCAGAGGTATTCTGAATGTCACAACACTCATAGTAGTTGTTAATTACTAGTAGGAAATGTTTTAGGTCTTGGGAGGGGAAGCTTTGGGACTATGTTTGTATCTGCATGATGTCAAAACCCAAAGAGACAAACAGAAAAATATAACGCAGAGTATCAAAGGCCTTTCTTGTCCGCATGCTTTTAATCCTTATTCAGATGCTTCTGTTTGGAAGAAGCTGTTTGGTGTTTGCTTTTTCCCCACTAAACTCAGAAGAAAAAGGAAGCATTTGTTTGCCTGTGAGTGCACAACTGGAGGGACCAAAAATGTGGAACAGAAGGGAATTTAACCTGATGCTGTTGGATAGTATGTCTGATGCAGCTGCATCCAAAAATTGGGAGAGCCATGAAGTCAGCTCTGGCTTGGACTCACGGGGCCAAGAAGAATCTGCTGGGTGGGGTTTATATCATATGCCAAGAAAACCTGAATCAAACACCAAACTGGACTGGATTTTATCAAACACCAGCCAAACATAAAATATCACACTCTGAAGCAGCATCCTAGAAGTGAGTTTTCTGCACAGTAGTGGCTAAAACCAGGCTGTGCAGCCTGGTGCTTGTTTGATTAGAGAACAAGGTGCTTGACACTTGTTATGATGAAGGTAAACAATGCTTATTTAAATGAAGAAGAAGGAGATTCTGTCATCCAGAAAATTCTGTTTCTGTTGCTTTCCATCCTAATACACAAAAGCATTAGTATAGGATCACACATTGCAGCGTTGGAAGGACTGAAAACTGTGAGAGACTTTCCACTTTCATTCCATTAAAAAGACATTCTGCTGCCTTGGTCCTCAAGATAGCACTTTACATAAATGATTGTTCCTGGCAGTCCTGCAATACTAACTGGAAGGGAGCTATGAGATAGTGTAAAGTGTCAGGGAGCATGCCCGTTATATGGGTGTGCATAAGCTTGCCTTACCTGAGAGTCTTCCCTAAAAGTATATTTGGCTCCAATGCTACTTATATAAATCTGCCTGAAAGGAAAATTTTCATCTTAACTTCCAACAACTTCTGGTTTCAATAAGACAAAGTTTAAAAAAAAAAAACAAAAAAACACCTGGTCTTGGCAAAGACAAGAATGTGTGTGCTGATATTACCATGCCCATGAAAGCTATTCTTATTTAAAAGAATAAACCTACCACAAAAGAAAAATAATAATAATTAAAAAAAAAAAAATAAATAGCCTTATCAATGCTATAGTAATTCTTACAAGACTGAAACTAGTACAACGTGTTGGCATTCCTTATGCTCTAGAACTAGGCACCAGAGATGCCAACACTGCCTGTGCTGCAGCAAAGGAAACCTGGGTGCAGGAGGGCCTCTCTCTGCCATATTTAAAGCTGTGCAGAAGAAGGTACAGATGATGCAGACCAAGTTAGAACTGCTTTTCAAAGGAATTCATCTGGGACATCTAAGTGTCAAAATGAAATCATCTTGGACTGCCTTTTGAAGGAGAATGCTAAATACTAAAGAACCATAATTTCTTTTATTTTGTGAATCCAAAGCTTTGTATTCACTACCTAGAGCTTGCACAATATGCTCTGCCTTGAAAGTGAAGTCATTTTCACAGTCCTTGCTTTCCTAAAAGTAGTCTTTCATCTTAAAATAGGATCTGTATTCTTTGTTCCTAACTACAAGACTTACTTGCCTTCACTAAAAAAGCACTTTGAGAAAGCCCACTTCAAGCAGTCCCAATCACTTTGTACAGCTGACCTTTTCACCAATTTTTGTGTCATATGCAGATAACATGTTTTCTTCTATAGTCAAAAAAAAAGAGAGAGAAAAAAAAGAAAAAAAACAGAAAAAAGAATAGAAGACAAGGATAAAGAAATTCAAAATTTCACTAGAAATTACTAGAATATTTTTTTCTTTCTTTCTTTTTTTTTTTTTTTCCCCCACTTTCTTTTGTTTTAAATACATTTTGGAATGTTGACTTTGCAGATAGATGATAAAAAAAGGCTTTTTCCTATGAAAACCAGAATTTCTGTTTCTCTATGAGTAACTCCATGGGCACAACCATTTATTGTCTTGAGCTGCCTGAGCAGCTTCTACTTTCTCTTACACTTGAAAATGTACAGGCTGAAATTCTTCACCAGGAGGCAAAATGAATTTGTTTGCCTCATCAGATGCAGGTGCTAAACAATGAAGAGAAATAGAAGAAGTTGTATGATGGGTAACAGAGGGTACAGGGGAGAAAAAGAAGAATTTAAGATTGAAAATCAGTTTTGCAGTAGCCACAAAATGACCTATACATGTGTGCAGACATATATAACAGCTATAGCAACACCAGACTCCTTGCAAAAAATAACTCCAGATATATGTCTGGAAGGGAAGAGATTAACCAGAGGGACAATTTCTGCACAACTGAGGAAAAAAAATTTGTAACAGACAACTTCTGATTGAACTCTTAGAAGTAATGCATTTCTATGGGAATTTCAATTCTTCATTTAAACAAGACGAAATACATTGAAGTTTCAGCAGAATATTAGAGTCCACAGGCTGATGTGTGCTAACACTACAAAAAATGACTAGCTTATTAATTGCAGGCACTGTGTTCATTTCCATATCTATTTTATGACAAGGTGTTACTCTCAGAAACAGACGTGCTGTTGCAGACCCAAACAGCTCAGAGATTGGCAATTATGGAATCACAGGATTTCAGGGATTGGAAAAGACTTCAAGAGATCATCAAGTACAACCCTCCTGCTAAAACAGAACCCTACAATGAGTCAGACAGGTAGGTGTCCAGACAGGTCTTGAATATCTGCAGAGCTCCAGAGCAGACTCCACAACCTCTCTGGGCAGCCTGTTCCAGTATTCCATCACCCTTACCATAAAGAAGTTCTTCCATATTTTATGGAGCTTCCTTTGTTCAAGTTTTAGGCCATTGCTCCTTATCCTATTGCTATGCACTACAGAAAAGAGACCGGCCTCATCCATTTGCATCCCAACTCCATTCAGATATTTATAAGCATTTATCATTAAGTCTCTTCATGTGCAGAGAACAGAGACTGAGAAAAGCAGGAGACAACTGGTGGAAGAACTACAAAACAGCTTTAGGATCTACTTTGACAATGAAGATAAGTGACAGAACAGACACACAGTTCAATACAAACCAAATTTTGCTAAGGACTGTTGTTAATCTGATTGCTCTTAGTAAAAGAAAAACAAAATAAAATATTGATAATAGAATGAATTTAAAAGGCACAATCAAATATTACCACCATGATCATTAGAGCATTTTGATATCTAGAGTATGAAGAACCCTATGGAAAATACAGTATCAAAAAAACTCTTGATAAAATAGAAAGCAGGCAGGATCAAGTATGATTATACTTTGCATCTGGATTAAGAGAGTCCTCTAAAAGGAGCACAGTCACAGTGAATTGCAAGGCAAAACAAAACCAAACCAAACAACATGTTCTAATTTTTTCATAGAATCATAGAATGGCTTGGGTTGGAAGTGATGCCAAGGATCAACAAGCTCCAACCCCCTTGCTGCAGGCAGGGCCACCAACATTCTTTTTCATTCTTTTCTATTAAATTTGCTATGTATGAAGTAGACAACTAAAAAAGAGGTTAAAACAAACAAACAAAACAACTCTCTTACTGTACAGAAATGACCACATTTTATAGCAGCTATCATGATAGTCTCAAGCCCAATCTCTAAAATATAACATCACATTTGTGACTTGAATACAGTCCAAGAGTTTGAGGTAAGTTCAGAGTTCTTCTTTGACATCTATCTCTACTTAAAAAGAAATGTTCAGAATCTTAGGTCCAAACCAAAGCAGTGGAGCTTCTTGTCCTGAGTTTTCATAAGCCTACTGTTAGCAGCACCATTACACTCCTCAGTGCTGTGCTTTATAAGCTGGTCCATGGACCATTCTCATCTGAAAGATGAAGAAACTTGGTTGTTTGGTTTTTTTTTTTTCACTGTATGTTGTTTTGCAATCTGTTCACATGAAAATACATAAGTGAGCAAACATCTTCAAAAGATAACAGCAGTCCATAAATAGAAAAAATGACTGCTATTTGCTATAATGCTAAAGACTAATTCAGCATTATGAGGGTTTGGTTTTTTTTCCTCAGCTGCAAAAAGGCAGCAATTTATTTCCTGCCTGTTAGGAAATATTCTATTTTCATGAACTAACATACTTATGATACCTGACAGCAATTTGAAAAGCATGTGTCTCTCATTCATTCACTATTTCTAATATCCCAGTAGTACAAAACCACATAGAAGTGCTATGTAGCACCATTTTGCCAAAGAGAAACCATTTTATATTTCTTCTTCTGTTGCGCTGCCCTGGTTTTTGTAACTTGTAAATGTTATTTAAACTATAAAAATGCACATTTTCATGCATATATATATTGGAGTGAGATACATAAAAGTGTTACAGTATGAGCTTCAATATTTAATGCTTTAAGACTGTCTTCAGCAGCAAGCCTCAAATATTTCTGAGATCTCCTGCAGCTGTTCACAAAGATGAAGATGACTGTTTTGCTAAATGACTGGATAATACTTACTGTGAAGATACTGCACAACATTTATTATCCACTCGTCTGTTAACTTCCCAGCTTTTGTTATCTTTGTACATTTCAGCTGACTTGCAAGATCCCTTGATTCAATCCAACAAATAGTGTCCTCTCTGTAGCTATAATCTAGTGTCAAAATTGAAGATCCTTTTACAGGGGTTCTGGCAGACACTTTGCTTCCATTAAGATGTAATACCTCTATTGTTTCAGAGTTTGCAATCAGAAGAAGAGGAGGTCTATCAGCAGGCTCTAAAAACAAATCAGAGAAAATATAAAGTGTTATCTATCTTACGAGCTTGAGTGAAATTTTTAAATGTTCTTACCTGCATGTTTTAAGAGATAATAAATAGGTTTTGTTTTTATTTTCATAACATATCATATATTTCAAATTACTACCATATTTTATCTTGCTGTTCTAATAGTTCACATCATTAAAGAAAATTAATTACCCTAGCCCCACAGCTTCTGTTTAATTCTGTGCAGCATTATTGCAACATTTTTCATGCCCGAGTCATAAAAAGAAATACATTTATGCAAATTATTTGTATCCAGATTACTGACATTTCTAATAGAATGGAGGCCATGAAAGCCTGAAGAATTTATGAGAACATTTGGAATGGTAAGCTACATTTGTATCTGAGCCTTTAAAAAGAGACAAAAACTGAATGAATGCTTCTACAAAGCAAAGCGAAAGAGCAACAACAACAAAATCAAACAACAACAAAAAAGCAATGAAACCTGGCTACATCATGCACATCTTGGGTCTAATACTGTGCAACATAAGAGAGAAAGCCTTATGCTGTGAAAAATCCTAACAGCAAGAGGGAACAGAGAATACATAGTTTCCACTGCGTTAATATTCAGGTGACAAAAAAAAAAAAAACAAAACAAATGAACCAGAAGTATGAAGAAACAACTTCACATTCACTTGAATAACTTTGACTGGAAATCTGCCTATAATGGATGAAAATATTCTGAACATTGTATGAATACTGAAGGAAACCCAAATTGTGAAGAATATATATTTTACATATAAAACGGTCATTTAAGATGATGCTAAAAGTTCACAATTTGACAAATTGTTCAAGTTAATAATTTCTTGTTACATCTAGAGAGAAACAATTGTTACTGTGTGCAAATAAATTTTGCATTATGAGTGCTATTGGATGCAAGAGCAGCTGGTTTTACTTTAGGTGTATTTTTCATTGCTTTATTGGATAGAAAATCTAGGGCTGGTGTGAAATTATGCCTCTGTGTTAATTAAAAAAAAAATATTAATCTCAGTATGGTGAGAAGTTTGTTATATGTGGTTTCATTAATGAAATTGATTGTCATTTTTTTCTAGATCTAGAGGAGTATGTTCCACTGGTATACAGCCCCAGTCGATGTAGAACCATCATGGGGATGTCTGTATCAAAAACATTTGCCTGCAGGTTGGCTTTGTTCTTTGTTCTTTTTAAAGGGAAGCACTCCTTCATTAGAAGCTTTGATTTGTGATGCTCCAAATATGATTTAAGCTTGCAATAGGTTTAAATGGAATAACAGCAATGTTTAATTTTGCAATGAAGTATGTTCACGTGAATAATAACATTAAGTTGACAAAATTTCAGAAGTTGTATTAATGAAAAGAAAAAAAAAGAAAGAAAGAAAAGAAAAGAACAAAAGAAAAGCCCTGAAACATAGAAACTCACACTTCTGTTGCCAAGCATGTGGAAAAAATATTTGAGTGCCAAGTCTCACCCCAAGAGCTCTCAGCCCAAAGCAATCTGCTTATATTCAGGAAATAAATCAATATTAAAATTAGTATTTTTGATCAACATTCTACTTCACACAGTTTTAAGAATTTTACTAAGCAATTCCAGGTAAAGAAATGGAGGAAAACAATGCATAACTAAAAGGATTTGAAAAATAATGCTTCATCAGCAAGTCTGATTAAAGAGAAAAGGGACATTATTGAACACACTGCTCAGTGGCCTCTCTGAAATCCACAGAAGTACGCTTTAAATTCTGTTCTTTGAATTCTTTGAAACTATGGGCTTTTATTTAAACATCTCTTTTGGTAATATTTTGTTTACTTTGCCACCTAAGACAATTCTTTTCTATAATGGATCAGCATGCATTCGTTCTAAAATAGATTTCATTTATTCTTTCCTATTGTCATTCTATAATGTGTTCTATACTTTGCAGTGCCTTTTGTCAGTAAATCTCATGACGACATCTGCAAAACCTCATTTCTGTAATTTACTACTTTTCTAATTTACTGACAGTCCTCACTTGTCTTACATTCATTATCACTATTTGCATCCATGCAAGATTCTGAAAACTTGAAAATTTCTAAAGATTTGAACTTTGTAAAGCAACCTCTTGTAAACTACTGTAAGATGCAACTGAAGCTCCCTAGCCATCCTTTTATTTTCCTCAGAAAAGAGGGCAATACGGGGTTTTTAATGAGAAATTTTATTTGCCTTTTCTCAAACAGATCCATTTGTAGTCAACAGTGTTGATCATGTATGTCAACCTTTGCCCCTTCTGCATCCTTTCTTCGGAACTGCTAACCATCAGAATGAGACAAACAGGCTTAAGAGATTTTGTTTCCATCATTCTGAGAGTTTCCATGCTGATATAAAGGGTGTCTCTATGCCTGTATCTTGCTACGTTTTTTACACGTAACAGTGATCTGCTGCTCCTTTCCCACAAAAATACCATCATTCATCTCTCATCCACCATCGATGTAAAAAATTCCTTACTATCATTTTTGCTTTTGTACTTTGTATTAAGTAAGATATTACATCAGTCTGCAATCTGTAAGGCCTTCAAGAAGAAGCAGGTATCAGGCACTGTTTGCAGTTAAGGAGCAAGCATGGTTGTTTAGTTGTCTGAGGCTGTTATAGAGAACCATATCGTTTCCTGCACGGTTTTAAGCTTACCCATTGGTAATTGCAAAAAGGACCACTGAACTCCAGAGAAAGCCTGTATTTCAGTATTAATGTCTAAGAAATGAAAGAATTCTGAAAAAGAATTAGCATTGAAACTTCTGAGCAAAAGTAACAAATCAAATACTCCAGTACTCAATGACACTGCTTAGCAGCCATGACTAAATGTTAGAACACATAGGTACTCTTGTAGAATTTATCCAGAAACCAGGATACTCAGTTGAAAATTCTATTTTTCAAGCAGTCCATACGTGACATAATTGAATGGGTAGAATCGGTTAATCGTGCTTTTTCACTCTAGGATAGGTGACATACCTATTTCAGGGCTGCTCAGATAAAGATCGATTTTATGAAAAAAGTTTTCTTCTCTTCCTTCTCACAAAAACTAGTTGTCAGTGCCTCAAAACAGAATGCACAAAGCCTAAAAGGTTAGTGGACAGATATGAGTTGCATTGAGCTGGCAGCAGCTTTTCAAATAACTGGACTTCATGACTGTTTTTCTTTCCAGAGTTTACTTTTTTTCCTTTTTTTCCTTTTTTTTTTTTTCTTTTTTCTTTTTTTTTCCATTTTATAGGAAAGATAAGAAGTAAATAGCTCTCTAATCCAGGAAAGTTTTATGATTCATCCCTCTAGACTAAAGTGAAAGCATCTTCCTTTGAATTATGTTTAAGATAGAGTAGCAGAAAAGATGAAAGCCTTATGTTCTCTCCCCCTCCTGATCTTGTCTTAAATACAGATCAATAGTGATGTCATAACAAATCAGAAACAAAGCCTTTTTGCTCTGCCACCAACAGTCCTTGTTCTGTGGAAGGAAATCTTCAGAAATGCCAGTGCTGGTAGATTGGTTTGTTGGTTTTTTTTTTCGTTACTATGATATGAAAAGGATAAAAATTGTAAATCAGTGTTTACAAGAAACTTAAGAACCCTTCCTCTGAGGTCTACGCTGTAAATTTGAAGAGCTTTGCTCTTAGCAAAGTGCATGCATTGTATGAAAGTGTGACAAATATTCAGAAGTGCTGAATGAAATGCAGACACATTTTATTTTGAAATTAATTTTCTGTACTTAGGCAATGAATCCCAAATGGACTACTTCAATTCTAAAACCTCGAAGCATCAATTGGCAGAGTTCTACAAGAAAACTGTGTTGAGAGATGCATTTAAGAGTAATGAATATCAGAAATAGCTTATAACTATTCCCTATCTCTTTATCCTTATTTACCTATACAACAAATGTTTCTTAGCACATAGTATTTCTCTGTAGATGGTCTATGAACATATAAAATATATCAGGAACTTTTGCAAGAAAAACAGTTATTTTTTTCCCTCAGCTAAAGTTTTCCAATTCTGTCCTTTTGTTTCCTTAAAAATTCTTTTCATCCAGTGCAGACCTCCCACTACAGACATACACACTTGGCAAACAAAGAACTTCTAAAACTCCATTCAGCAGAGCTATATTTTGTTTCATTTTCACCTCAGAAGTCATTAACTGCTTCTTTATTCATAAAAGAAAGTCTGGTTAAAAAGTCCTGGAAAAAAACCACCATGGTGTGCCTCTAGCTGTTTTGATACCTATTTTAACAACCTTCCCAAAGGTACTGCTCAGCTAAAAGTTTCAAGATCCAAAGTTATTTAAATGAGCTAAGGAAGAAAATGCAGAATTTAATGAGGGATAAACCTCCCTACCTTTACAGGCAAGCTTTGGCTGCCTAAAGGGTAGAAAAACAGTAGCTCCTGTGAACTGCTTTGCTAATTGAACCATCCCACATGCTAAAAGATGCCCATTCAGGGTGGGCTCTGAGGCTGTGGAGGAGCTGCAAGCCTCACCCGCAGTACTGCATCTAGGTCTGGGGCCCCCAGCATGAGGAAGACCCAGAGCTGTTGGAGCAGGCCCAGAGGAGGACACAAAGATGCTCAGAGGGCTGAAGGACCTCTCCTATGGAGACAGGCTGATGCAGCTGGGGTGTTCAGCCTGGAGAAGAGAAGGCTCCAGGGAGACCTATTGTGACACCCCAGTGCTTAAAAAGAGCTTATAAACAGGAGGGAGAGAATTTTTTTTTTTACATAGGAAGATAGTGATAGGACAAGGGAAAATGTTTTAACCAACCAAACAAACAAACAAATTAGATTTAGATTAGATGTTAGAAGGAAATTCTTTACTCAGAGGGTGGTGAGACCTTGGCACTGCTGCCCAGAGTGGTGTAGGTGCCCTATCTCTGAAGGTGCCTATGGTTGAGTTGGATGGGGCCCTGAGCAGCCTGAGCTGCTGGATGGAGTCCCTACCCACAGCAGAAGGTTGGAATTGGATAATCTTCAAGGTCCCTTCCAATCCAAGCCAATTCTATGATTCTATCATTTTCTGACATCTCCAGGCGCCACAACAGCCACCCCCCTGCCTCCTGCAGGCCACTGCTCCCAGGCACGTCTCCCTTCCTCTATACCTTGGTCACTGGCCCTCCATCTAATACGTACTCAGAAACCTCACGCTAATGATATGGAAACAAGACGTAGTACAAGGCTCATAGTTTGGTGTTGCCTGTCATGCTTTACCTAGGACAATGGATGGAAGTTTATATTCTTAGAAGATCTCCTTTTATTAACATCAGAAAATTTTGTCTAATACTTGAGCTAACCCAAATCTCAACTGCTTCTTAACTTTCAAACTTTTTACGCACAGAACTGAAAATTATTTTGTTCATTTTTTTAAATGTATTTGACAACTGTTTTTATGTGCAGACTAAATGGATGGTTTGCTCTTTCTATCCTTATTCTCTTTAGGCTATTAAAGGAAATTAAAGAGGTGGTTGTTTTTTGTTGTTGTTGTTGTTTATTTTATTTTGCTTTTTCCTTTAGGTATAACTTCCTGGATTCTGTTCTACTAATCAATCCATTATGCCTCTCACTGGATTTCATATTCCAGTTGAAGACTTCCCACTGTTGAGTAAGGATCAGGGATACTTTGAATGTCTTGCCAGTCATAGCCTAATTTACATACCAGGATAACACCTCTTCCCCTGCCCAACATGATGTCACTGTCTAATTTTTAACTTGTGAACCATTTCATCTTCTACACTTTTTGGCAAGACTGGTCCCTAGTTACTTTCTCACCTATCCTTTTTTTGTGCAGGGCAGCACATTGTTTTTGTTTCTGCTTGAACCTTATCCTACAAGACAGCAACATGAGAAAAGCAGTTCATATTATCAGTGAAGCTATGAATTTAACATTAAGGCTGAAGGAAAGCTACCTTCTGGAACATGGAAAAATCACTATTTTCCACACTGTAAGTTGGGTGCAATGAAGCAACGTAAACTGTTATAGGTCACTACAGCTCATCTCCTTCTGTGGCATCATTATTGTGGCAATAATTTTTTTGACCTCTGTGGACTCTGAAGAGTTCATCCCAATTGTTCAATACTGACAATTTAATTCAGCATTACTTCAAAGAAAAGTTGTGGTTATGCACGAAAACAATGTAACAAGCAGTGCTTATGTCTTTGCAGCATCATGATCTTATTAGCACTAGCTTGCAGTGGTTCCTTTAGTTTGTGGCTGAAAATAACAGAAGAAATGAAAATGACCATAAAACAGACATGATAAAGAACCAAGAAAGAGAGAGGAGTAGCTCTTCTCTGTTAATAGACAGCCTGACTCATTTCACCAAGACCATCAAGACACTGACAGTTCATTATAACACTGAGACAGACATTTTGCTGTGTACAGGAAAGGAAACTCAAAGGATCATCTCGAGTCCAATACAGGCACCACGAGAATTTCCTGATCTAGAATGGAGTTATTGATTTTTATGTAGTGGAGGAAGAAGAGTACTAAAATTTTTTACGTTTTATGGACTTTCTTATCTCACAATACTTGGCAATGTATTAAAACGAATTGCTCAGCTACGATGTGGATCAATTTAAAACTTGATACTAGCTGTAGCAAAGCACCTAACTTACTGGTGCTCAAGTCAGAACATACGTAGGGATGCTATTAACTTGAGATATCCTCAAAAAAAAGCCAGTAGACTTTCAAATTTTATGATGATAAAATACCTACAAATAAGACTCAAAAAAATATGTAATAAACACAGTTGTATACTTGGCTCTTGAATCATCATCGATGTAGAAAACTTGTTCAAGAAAGTATTGGCTTTTTAATATAAGAATGTTATCTGTGTCACTGTGCTGAGTAAAAAAAGACATTGTACAACATTGTTTCCTTAAACACTATTTCCTATTTTCCTCAAATATCCAGTTTACTATTACTAATGAAAACATGCACTAAGATGACTTTTTCTTAAAAAAAAAAAAAAAAAAAAAAAGGATTGGTGTGAATATGCATATCATTAAATTCACCTCCTGGGATATTACAAGGACAAGGCAATCTCGTGCTTTTTTTCATCCTCAGGGCACAATTACCTCACGATCATTTCCTCTGCCTTCTCACTCTTGTCTTCCCAGAGTAAATAACCTGTTTTGTCTGTGTGAGGAAAAATCTTTATTTATGAAGAGAGACAAACTGGGAACTATTCTAATTTTGGCTGAACTGAATATTTCACTTTAATTAATCATAACCATATAATAACTTCTGATATCTCCTTTGGAGTATTGTCATAGAACATGCAAAGCTGTTCTAGAGTTATGTGGCTCTTTGTAATACAGTGAAGGAAAATCCATCTCTTCCGCAGGCATTTCTTCCCACCTTTTCATACTTATCATCTACAGAAGACAAAAACAAGAAATATTTTCTTTAAGGTAAAGAGATGTTAAAACTCACCATTTTTGGCCTTGCAAGACTTGTTATCAGGCTGAAGAACGTAACCCTCTACACAGCTACAGGTGTATGACCCATCTGTATTTATACACATCTGGCTGCAGCTTCCATATGTATTACACTCATTCAAATCTAAAGGGACATAAATGAGATTAATGAAATTTTATTAAAAAAGGAGTTTAAAAAAATGAATTAAAATCATAGGAGGAAATTTTGATCCGTTAAATCACTGTAGAAAGGTGATTTACATATTCCTTTTCTCAAGCCGTGACATTATTACTGATGTCAGCTGCTGAAATAACTCCAACGACCAAACAGAAGGCAAAGAGTTCTCAAGTTTAATTGCTATTTATTTTTGAAGTTAAAACCTTCATATGTCCAATTAACATCCAGTGTCGACACTGTGTTAGGCAGACATCTGGACTCGTATTCTACTAGAAACCATTTCTATTAAAAATTATCAGGGACTATGAATGAAACAACATTTCGAGGGAGCAAACTGATTATCCCTCTCAACTATTTGTGCTGGAAATGTCTTAAAGTTCCTTAAATGAACTGTCACAATTTCTAGATTAAACTATCATCCACTGCATCAGAAACTATATATTTCTCTAATCTGAAGAGCAGCTCCCTCAAGTAGGACATATAGACATAATACCATAAAATCAAGACATGCTGTTTAACAGTGGCTGAGAGTTTAAGTAATAAATTGACATTTTAAAAACTGCTGCTGAAATTATTTCCTCAGCCATGTTTTCAATCACAGAACATGACAACCATATAGAGCAAAAGAACTCAGAATAAATTGCATTTATGAAGAATCTGGTTTAGAACTGTTACTTGAAGAGAGGAATGATTGGGACTGAGGAACAGAATTTCAATCTACTTACAAAAAGAGAAAAAAAAAAAAACAAAAAAACAAGAATCGAATAAAAGATAGAGAATTAAAAAATCACATATTTTAAAAAAAGAAAAAGAACACCAATTTCAGTGGACATTTAATTATGCTAGAATAACTTTCCCAGCTGCATTGCATGATTTGGGAGTGTTCATTTATCAAATTGCAATCTAGATGTGATTTTATGGACATGAGGCGAAATGCTCTATGTTGTACTGCAGTTAGCAGGCAAGTCCTGACTGATTATGGGGGGCTCTTTCCCCTGCTTGATTCCACAAGCCCATGCTCATTTCCTGATGAGCAAATACCACTGAAGATGGGCAAGGAAGCTCATCCATGCTCACCAGCTTCCTGTTGGTCTCCCAGTATGTCTCCAAGATGAAAGCAGGTAACCCACCACCAGCTCATTGCACCTAACAGACATCAAGGAGTCATTAAGAAATTCTTGTGTCAATCCTACAGCACCTTCCTTATTTACCTGTGCAGCTTCTTCCATCACTGCTTGTTTCATAGCCATCTCCACAGTAACACTTGGTGCCATTCCTGGTAATGGCACATTTGTACTGGCAATTCATCTGTTGGCATCTGGGTAGCAATTCTGTAAATAAAATTATTAAGAGTAAATTGTTACTAAATATTATTTCTATTACTGCCAAATCTTTAAATATATATGTTTGTATAAATGCACATCTCAGGAAGGAAACGCAATCATCATTTCCGTTAGTTGTTGTAGGAAATATGCTTATGACACATAATGCGTTGTCAAACGTTTGCTTTGAAAATTGTATTTCTGCAACATAATAAAAAGAAATCACATTCCATTTCTACCAAACATTGTGTACAAGTATATAATCAAGGCATACTGTTGCTCTGCTTCGATATTTATTTTTTCCACATCAGTCATATTTAAAGCAACGATTCTGGGGGAATAAAGGAACACCACATCTCAACCGGTTAGATTACAGTTCTAGAAAACAGCAAAGGCTATGAGCAAGTTTTCAACATCTATGCTGTCTGTATTTGTCATATAAATTGATATTTTGAAAGCTTGCTTTGATTTACCAATACATGTATAACTTTCATGCCAATCAACGGGCATACATTCTGGTTCAGTAATTCTGCATTGGACGTTTACTGTTGAATAAACATTGGACATGGTATATGTCATTACTACTGAAATCCTTCATAGCATGTATTGCTTAAATCCAAACAACCAATACAAGGCACAATGTTAACAGTCACAAGAAATATTGCAGAAATAAATACTGTAATGTTTTCCACCCTGCAACAGCATGAAAACAAACTAAATAACCACTTCTCAGCCTGAAGCTGGATGAAGTGCATCAATTATACTGCTGATCAAAAAAAGAGTGTTTTGATGAGCAACATTTTTCCCTACAGGAAAAGGATTATATAAAACAATTGTAGAAGTTTATTCCAATATATTTTTTAAAACTATATGCAGATGTATCAGAAAATAGCTTGAAAATGGACAGAGAAAGGTTCCCTTATAGGACTGTCATAAAGGATCTGGGAATGTCCTAAAGAAAAGGAGAAGTCTATAGTTCAACATTGGTAGTTATAATGCATCTGATCAATATTCATCAAGTTCTACTGGAGGCCAGAATTAAAATTAATATGACGAAGAGTCAGCATCTGAGAACTGGGGTTTCAGTTCAGGAGCATCTGCTGCTGCCAAAATGAAGTTGACATTCTGGAAGGAAAGTGGATGTGTCTGCTGCCCAAAGTTGTACTTACTATATAGCAATAACTACTACAAAAAAAGTGTCACACAACTATCAGAGGAAAGTCTCTAGAATTTTATAATCTGCACGATCTGTAGACTGAGTAGAGACTGATAAACCATCCACTGCCCAGATCTGCCCATTTTCCAAATGGTTTGTTGGTTATTTCTCTGCCTTCTGTGCCTTTGTGAAAAGGAAGGTAATAAATTTTGGCTGTAGTTTGATGTGTCAGTTTTTTGTCTCTAGTCCAATCCTTAGATCTGTTACATCCTTTCAAGAATAAGTCCCATTCAGAATGCAAATGAGAAAACTTCCCCTGAGGTAACCTGAAATAGGGTTGCACACCGAGGTGTGCAGCTGGAATCAAGGCTGATTATATAGTATCTGTTTATTTAACATTTCTATCTACACAAAATCAACATATACGTTTCATTTTCTAAGCAAGCATGGATCAACCATTCTTCACGATTTTCTTCCTCAAATATTTATCTTGTGCTGTACAGCCAGTAGCTTTTACCAGATGATAACTATTTGACTCACAAACGGGACTTGGCTTGTTTGCACTCTTTCCATAATGGATACAGATAACCAGCAGTTTAAACTGGAATAGTGAGACCTGTACACAGCCAGTAAAGGCTGCTGGAGAACAGCAACAGTAAATTGGCAAGTGAGATCCATTAAAGGAAAGTGAATCAAACCAGCTGGTCTGCTCCTTTTCTTTTAAAATCTGTTGCTATCTAAATTATTGCAGTAAAACGTAGATGGCGTTTAATGACATAACCGTTGCATTTTCTTTACAGTAAGTAAAACCAAATCCTGTGCATAGTTCATTTCTGCCAAAAATATTTCTTGTCGCACGTCTCATCACTCATTCTTTCCACACATTTCTATTTTTTCACACTGTCTATCACAGCTTTGCTGGTGCCCTCATCCCATCTGCTGTGCTTTTAGAAAGGGCTTCTCCAAGAAGGTATTCTGCTCATTTCCTCCCCTTGTGCAACTACTTACACTTGCTTTGGTACAAACTGAGTCTGATCCTATTGATCAAGTAAGAAAATATTTTCAGATTACTTTTCTCAAATGACACATTTGACGATTCCCTGTCAATAAAGGTTTGAGGCAGTTAAAACTGGAACACTGAGCAAACCCAATTTTTGTTCTTGCATTTCAGCCAGCAATAACAAGGAGCTTTACACTACAACTACTTTCTCCAGTTTCCCTGGAGGGAGATGACTGGCCACCCAGCCAGCCGGGAGCCCTTCAAACACACCAGACTTAACAACAAATCTGTTTAAGAAGCAGTGTCAACAGCCATATGCTTCTGACTTCAAACTAAGATTTCTTTTACACTAAATTATCAGCTAGTTTATTACAGCAGAAATTGGCTTCCATTCACAGTTCCATTACTGCCTATGTGAGAGACGTCTTCATGCCCCAGAACATTTCTGCTCTACTGCTGATCCTCTAAATGTGTCAGGGGAGCTCACAAATGGAAAAGTACAAAGTATTACAACAACACCGAGGGTAAATAAATCTATGTTCTATTTTACTAGCTCTTCGGCTTTCGTCACTTTAAGTAACTGATCCTGAAAACCTTTGGATAAAAAAAAGGAGTTAGCTTGCCTCCGGAAATGTTTGAAGAATTGAAGGACATGCTCAGGAAGACAGTGTGTGCATTTATGGCTGGGTTAGATTTGTGGCAGTCTACTTGGGAAGAGGTGAGTAGGCAAAGAAAAATCATAAAGCAGTGAACATCAATATATTTAATGCTCCAGACTGGAAATTTAAAGGAATAAAAAATAAGGGCCCTCATTTCAGGCCCTTCCATCCTTGCTTTAGGATAAAGTAAAATTCTCCACCCATTTTGGTCTCCCTTTCTCAACATGAATTAGTTTACAAAGTACACAGGCAGTGAAGAATGAGCATCACCAAGCTTTCAACTTTTACCACAGCTACAGAAACCTCTAAATTTGTCAAGCATAGTATTTCTGCTACAAGATTTAAAGGAAGAAGCTAAACTGAGGGAAAACAACAGAAAAGAGCTTTATAGCTCATAACGAGACCCACAATTCAAGACATGGAGCTGCAGAGCAAGGCATGAGATTTGCAGAAATACAGGATAGCAGAAGTAGCTGTGAATGCCTTTTGGATGATTTATTTTTCCTAGGCCCAGGGTGTACTGCCAGCACTGATTTAGGTCATTTTGTTCAGTGTTTTCTTTCTTCCACAGGAGACATTTAGGGCAGCATTTTTTTCTTCCTTACGTCCCATGAAAGCCTCTCTGAAGCTGGGTTCCAGCTCTATCACAAAAGCCACCTTGCTTTCTGAAATACACCTGTGTCAATGTCATGCTTACTGACTTTCATGTTCTTCTGAGCCTCCGGAATTCAGTCCCATAGGAGAGGAGTCAGTCAGGCAAAGATGCTGCTGATTTCATCTCCTCTAACATGATATACCTCTGACAATGACTCAGAGGAGAGGTAAGCTTTTTGGACAAACTACTCCCACAGGATTTTGCAGTAATAAAATCCTGGCTTCATTTATTCCTTCTGTGTTCAAGGAAATATATATATTCTTATTATAGGCTATCCAAGATGAATGATATGCAGATCTATCCCCCTTTGCATGTCTTTTTAATGAATGAATGAATGAAGCAGTTAATCTGCCTATCAGTTCTGTCAGCTCCTCCTGAACTGAAATGGGATTCAGATCAGGTTCTAAAGCTTAGATGTTTTGGATGTTGTCATTAACAAGAAAAGCACTTCAGCTTGCACTGACTAAATGCTGTTTATATTTTCACAATGAAGGACTGTTGAGCAATAGAATGAATTTAAGAAGATGCCTCAGTTAGCCTTCCCCAACAACATGCATATAGGTGCCATTAATTTTGAGCCATTTTGATGATAATAGGGCTTTTTGGCTGTAATGGGTACCCAGTAGTTTCATAAGTATGTCTATAATATACAAATCCTGTACTGCCCTTTTCGTAATGATGCTGGAGAGTATAGACAACTTCCTATCATGCTACACTAAAATTAGTTGATGATGTAATGTTGATAAGTATCAGCTGTATGCAGCCATAGTAAGTGAAAGCAATTGGCTGAAGTTTATTGTTCCAAGTTCAAGATAGAATGGTGAGGAAATAATAGAGCTTCTGCTGTCGATTCAGGACTTAACAATTTGAAACAAGGGATTCTTATCAACAGTTCATCAGAGAATGGGTCTGAGCTACCACTGCAGTGCTGCCTAGGAAAAAGCAAATGCAGATCTGGGAGCATCAGGATTAATATTTTCCATAGGGAAAGCATTGATCCTAATGGCCAAGACACCAGTGAGTTCTTTTCTTGAAGAATGCAGCTCTTTGTGACTGTGCCCTGATGGATACCATGGAGACAAACCTGGATTTGAGTGGACCCAGGGAAAGGCTGCAAGGATCAGTAGGGGACAGAGAGCTGTGAGTCTGCCACTCTGTGTTGGCTGTGTTGGGAGATGAAAACTATGAGCAATCATGGCTGCTGTCTCTTAATACATCACAGCATCATGAGTAGGAGAAGAGAGACTATTTAAGCTAATGGGCTATTGGCAGAAGTACAAATGGGTATAAATTGCTCATTAATAACTTCGGGCTGAAAAAAAGACGTTCTTAACTATTACTGTAATCAGGCTCTGAAACTCCTCTTTGAATGGAAACAACAAAGACAGAAAATAAATAAACACTTTCCACATGGATTATGATAGATTTGTGAAAGACAGCATATGGAAAGGCCCCTGGAACACCAGACACTGCTTTCATGACCCAGGAGGTCTCTTTTACTGCTGTATTCCTCAAGCAACAAAGCCTCTTATGCTAAAA